ACAGTAATGCTGTGAATGCCACAAAGTAACCCATACAGAGACTTAGGAGGATAAGGGTTCCCGTTCTCCTAGGCGTGTTTCTAGGACGTACCGACACAGCCACTTATTCATAAGGGTCGGATCTTGACAGTGTAGTATATCTTGTGGGATAACATCATCAGGAACTTGCCTATTTCGATTCTCCATCCACTGATTAAAATTACGAAGAGCCCACTGGTTTCTACGCTTCGTATTTTCTGGAACGACTCCCTTTGAAGCCTCTACTACTTGTTCTTCGTCAACAGGAGCACCAAATCTACCTTTATTCTTCTTATTTGATGACAAAGAGAGGCGCCTACGCTTCCTAGGGGGCTCATTTGTCTCTGATTCGGCCAAGGATTCAACAGTATCTTCTTTCTTCTTCGGAGGCTCACTTGTCTCTGTGCTCTCTGATTCAACAATATCTTCTTTCTCCATCTTTGCTGCTAAGTTTGCTCGGCAATGCTTGCTCTAAAACGTGCTTTCTGCGCATGCTCAGATCTTGACCACAACTATAAAACAAATCAATTATAACATGGGTCCTCGTGTATTATCCGTATATCGCACTCGCTTCCGGTCTCGTTGCTAAAAATAGCACACTCGGGCCTTCGGCCCTCGTGCGCTATTTTTAGCAACTCGACCAGAAGCTCGTGCGATATAACGGATAATACACTCGGACCCATGTTATAACTAATACATATGATATATGGCATAATGATGACAGCATTTCTGCATGGCAGGTCTATATACAAAATATAAAACCCACCACATCAAAGGAATGATGTCATCATTGTGCTACATGTATATGTACAATACATGTACATGTGCATGCACATGCATACAGTCTGACTCACTAAAATTACTGTTGGAAAATTTATAGAGATTCATTTGATGTTGAAAAAGTTCCAAGAACATCTGGTAAACAATTAGTATGTACTCATACTGTCAGGGGGCATGCTAGTGGAGTACTCTCTGTCACTGCTTCCAATATTCTTTTATTTACAGGATCACAAGGTACATGTACATGTACATGTATACATGTATGTTATTTCAGCTCATACATGGACCATTCAAATTATATTAATAAATAACCATCAATATTTACAATGCTGTTGTACCATTATTAACATTTAGATTGTACTGCAAAAGTTTGGGATTATCTACAGGACAGTCAGTGGCTACACTATCTCGTCATCACAGTTATGTTCGTAAAGTCACCTTTTGTCCCTATACTCAATTAGTATTTACTGCTTGTCAGTCTCTGATTAAAATTTGGGACTTTCGTAATTTAAAGAAACCAGAATATGTCAGAACATTACAGTAAGTGTTAATAAACTTGCAGTTGTACATGTACATGTGTTTGTTATGCATATAATTTTATTTTATGATCTTTGGTACTTATATACACATGTACATGTACAGTGTGTACGCGTACATGTACATGTAGAGTGGTATGTACTATTTTGTCAAACTACAGCATACATGTACTGTGCATGCATACATGTACATACTGTATGCATGCACATGTACGGTACATGTACATGTACATTGTATGCATAGTATGAAAGTGAGAAATTAGGCAAAAATATAATACTGCTTGTTAATAATTGATAAAAATTATTATTATTATTTTTATTATCTATGTACATAGACCAGTAGGAAACTCGTCAGCAGATGCTGTACAGGATTTGTTAGTTCATGGAAATAACCTATTATCAGCTGCTGGTTCAGCTATCAATGTCTGGGATATGAGGAAGTAAATGTGTTATATACATGTACATGTACAATGTATCTAACAATTTTGGAAGGGGAAATTTTGGTAAATTGCTATGATTGGATGGTTTTAATTTGGCGAATTTTTGGCCATTTTTCATTAAGCATGTGCAGAAATGTCTCAAAATGGCAGGTTTAATTTTGGCAAATGGCTATCAAAAAGCCAAATTTGCCAAAATTTACAATGTAAACATGCACTTTGTACACTAGCTGGCATTAAACATACATGTACATGTACATGTACAATACAAGTATACAATGTATGTGGAAGTTTCCCATAGTACATGTACATGTACATGTAGCTGCATAATACATGTAGTTGCACAGTTACATGTATGACAATACATGTACTGTACATTTCTTTGTTTTAATTTGAGAAATAATTTTTCTGTGTTTTAGTATGTCATTTTTTGGTCGCTTGGTTGGTCACAATGGTACTGTTGTGACTATGGAAGCACTTACTGATGATATTATAGCTAGTGGCTCAAGAGATCGCCTCATAAAAGTATTTTTATGACATTTTTTTGGAGATTGTTTAATGTGATGTTTCTGTAGCTCTATGATGCATCACAGATTTTTAGTTCTGAGCAAGGATTTTCCCAAGTAAAGAATAATACTAAACCACTGTTATTATGTAATTTCATTGTAGCAACCACAGTCAACACTGAGTCCTACTCATTATGACACTGTCTCCTCCTTAGCATTTAATAATGACACTTTATACAGTTCTTGTGGTGTTAGTATTAAGAAGTGGGACTTATCGAAACAGAGCTTAGTGCAGGTAATCTTGCTTGGTTCATATATTATATGAAATTATACATGTACAATGTATGTTTTAGGCTGTAGATGGTGCCCATCCACAAAATAGAGGAAACACTATAACATCACTCAAGGTTTTATTGCCATCAATGCTTGTCAGTACCTGTAAGAGTGGTTACCTTAAAATGTGGCAAAGTGACAGTTGTCAAAATATTGGTAAGATGGGGTGATAGTCATCATAATCAATGTACATGCACATGTGATGTATGACATACATGTATGTTTATTTATGTCTCTTTTGTCATTTACATGTACATATTATGTGTAGGCGACATACAGGCACACAAAATGGCCATAAACTCGCTGGCTGTAAATAAGCACTCTGCCTTTACTGGATCAAGGTACAAATGTACATGTACATGTATACATGTATGTCTAAAATTATACATGTGGTTTTTACAAATTCATTACATGTACACGTACATACATTAAATTACATGTCACTTTACTTTTGTGGAGTAAAATTTTTGTTACTAAACATTGACTTCAACTTGCATGTACATGTAAGTACATGTACATGTAGTAAAGAAGAGGCTTTTCTTTGTTGCTATTATTTGAAGTTGTGTTATCATTGTTTAAAAAGTCCACCATGACATTAAAAAGAATTGCAGGCATGCCTTTATTTGGCATTCTTTATGCACCACAGAACTTGTACCCTCTTTTCAGAAATCCTGCTAATGCCCCTGCAAAACATACTTGTACAAATCAAAATGAAAGCATGCCTTTCTACATGTTGCACCTTTACAACAATATTTACACTATGAATTTGCTCCATAAAAAGAAAGTGCTTTACGCTTCATGCATAGATAATCGAGTAAATGAAAGGGATTGGCAACGGGGCGTAGCAACAGGAAATGCGGGTTGGGTTACCACGTGACAACCATCAGTGTTTTGATTGATTTCCCATCTCCTCCATTGGTGAAGTTGCTCTGCAGGATTTCGAAGGAAATTTGTGCTGCTCCAGGATAGCGCTTGCTTTTGATATATAGCCTATTCCACATAAAATTTTTAGAGCTACATGTACCTGTAGCAAGGTTTTTTCTCCAAAAAGCCATTTTGCAACCAGTTAGAGGTACACAAAGTCGCCTGTTTTTGAAACACTTTATCGTTCGTAAAACACTCAAGCTTCATTGTATCAATATGCAAGTTAGCTCATTCTATAGGAGATTTCAAGCTCTTTAAAACGATTATACTTATTTGTAGCTCAAGAACAAAATGAGTCTCTCAGAGGGGGAAAAGATGGTATTTCTAGTTAAAGTGTGACGCGGCTACTAACGCATGCATTGATTTACTGAACAAAAAAATATTAATACAAAGCATAAACATTGGTTAATATTGTGTGTGAGTTTTGTTTGTATGAATTGTATTCTCTTGGAGTTATTCAAGAATAAAGCGAGAAAATCCCACTTTTTACTCCAAAATTGGTCAAAAAATCCCAACCCTCCTCTGTTTACTTAGCAACAATGCAAATGAATGGAGGTTTGCCCACACCCACGCTTCCGTTTCCAATCCCTTTCATTTACTCTATTATCTATGCTTCATGTAGTAGCACTATAATTATGTAAAACTTTACTCATGCATTATGTATAATCTTGTTCTTTATCCTTCTATTTTTAGTGATAAAACTGTCAAGATATGGCGTCCTAATTAAAGTGATCATGTACCTCCAGATATCATATTTTTATTCAATTCAAATTGACTTCACTGAATACTGATAATGTACTATAAATTTTATGTCTCACTAAAATGAGTATAAATAATAATAATAATAATAATAATAAAAAAAATGCATGTATTACTCAGCTAGCAATTGCTTCAACAATAACAATGGAGTCAGTCACATGTGTCTCTAAGTTCGTTCTTAGGCTACATAAAATGTAAGTGTCACATATTAGGTGCAAGAATTGTAATGCAGGGAAGAAATTTAAATAAGTGAATTTTTGATGACAATCTTGCATAATAATACTTACTATCTGTTATTGTATCTATAAAGGTGGGCAGCTACTATGCAGCATTGTAGCTTGCAACTTGTGGTTAAACCTTTGATGTGGTTGCCAATATAATTGCATTAAGTAGGATACTTCATGCAACATGTTGCACAGCCACATCAAAGGCACTGATAAGAAAGTTGCATAGTGGATTTGATGCCCACTTCAATGCTGCTACACAGCCAAAAATGTAAATTAATCTGCATGAGTTCATGACCCAGCTTGATACTGCGCAATCCCTAAGCTGTTTAATTCCCCACCCAACAAATGGGTGTGGCCAAACAGAATTAATTGTGATGATCTGTTTTGATTCGAGGTTTGTTTCTTTATGAGATGACTTAACTTCAGAGATGGCTTCAGGAGGTTGGTGTGAGTATTATTGTGAATCTTCTCGTATACCAGAGGCACATTCTCCTCGTGTACTGATGTCTAAACCACCTCCATCACAGTCTGAACGTGTTATTACACTTGTAGTGGATGGGAAGAGGTTTACTGTTAATCCATCGCTATTTACAAAGCATCCCAACACAATGTTAGGAAGGTAAGCAATAAAGGGAGACTGAAAAATTTGAGGCTGAAAGCACATGTATAATAATTATTGTGTATACTGTATCGTAGATTGAGAGATTTAAAATAAAATGATGGGAAAATTTTTTACATCTTTCAAATTTCGCTTTTTGCTGTGAAAATTTTAAAATTGCATAATAAAACACCAAGACTTTAGAATGACAATGACGATACATTGCTATTGATATTCATGTCCTTAGGTGTGTCTTAAACATCATTTCCATGATGTGTTAGGTGTGAATAGAAGTGACTGCTATTATAAAATCTCAAAAATTAGTACTTGCATTTATTAATAATCAGTAGATTTATTAGTAGATATAAATTAAGAAAAAAACAAAGTGGAAAAAAATTAGCATAATTATGATAGAATTAATGCCATGAACAAAAGTAATCTCATATTATGTTTTTTACTTAAAAATAAGCGGATTTAATGTAAATCCTTGAAAAGGCATTGAATTAGCATTGTCTTATAATAGTGCTTCTTTTGGTTCATTATTGCTTTTCTTTAAAATTTGGATGCATGTGAAGTGACATCTATATTGTAACTGAAATTAATCACCCTAGGAGTTAGGATGGTTAACAGAATAAATGCATGTAAATGTACATGTACAGTACATGTAGTTTTAAGACTTAATTATGCTTTGTACTACATGTATCTCAATAGAATACATACATGTATACAATGTACATGTACTTTTTATGTATATTTACATGCATGTATGTAGCCCTAGCGTTATATTCTCATGTCAATCAAGCCGAGCATAATATTGTAAACCATGCAGCTTTTAATGGCCTTATGCTCTATTGGTACATTTACATGAACCTGTAATCTATTTCAAGTATTATTGCTCCCACTCTTCTTTTGTCTTTTCTGTATGATATACCCTTAGAATGTTTAGTTCACCAATGGAGATTAAACCTAATGATTCTGGAGAATACAGGATACTAAATGGAATATCATCCCATATTTTTAGGGCAGTTCTGGTAAGTACAATGTACAGTACATGTACATACAGTATTGAGGCTATTCTTGTTGGTATAGACCTTTGAGGCAAAGTAATCACTGTATGACAGTAACTAATTTTGTTTGCCTTTAAAATTCTCCATTCATATTTTCATGTACATGTACACATGTTCATGTTTATGTACATGTACATTGAATGTAAACTGTAATGTTCAATGATTTTGTAATTAATGTACTTGTTAAGTTCTGAGCAATGATATGTACACACGCATGCATGCTACATGCACATTACTTTTGTTACATGTAGGATTATTACCGAACTGGTGTGTTACCTTGTCCTTCGTCTGAATCTGTACATGAAGTCAGAGAAGCATGTGACTACCTTCTCATTCCTTTTAATGAGAAAACTGTCAAAACTAACAACTTAAGTAAGTTTAGCTTGATACATGTATGTACATATACATGTACTTGACAAAATATAATAGTTCACATACGTGATCATTTTTTCATATTAATGTTGATAATGAAACGTTAAGTGTTGTTGTACCCCTCATTGCACATGATGCATCACTTTCACAACATACACATGTATGTATCTAAAACCAGTAATGCTGGGTATTAATTTTGTTTTAGGAGATTTTCTTAATGAGTTGTCTAATGATGGTGCTAAGCAACAATTTCGAGAATATCTTGAACCACTTATTATTCCAGCAATGGTTATGTGTGCTCGGGTAAGGTGATTATGATGCTGTATGGCCAAATGAAACTTGACACTGTTATTTAATTAGTGATGTTACTAAAATCATCTTAATGATATACCTTCATGACCAATTTATTGATGCTTGCATGTACAATTGTATTCCTCAGTACATGTATTATATATGTACATGTATATGAACTTTTTTGTTTATATATACATTATAGAAAGGAGAAAGAGAATGTCAGATAGTTGTACTAATGGAAGATGATGTCATTGAATGGGATGATGAATATCCACCAGCAGTGGGTGAAGAACATATACAGCGTTAGTTGAACACAGTACATTTGTACATGTTGAGATAAGAAATGAAATTTCAATTACGTGTACTTGTACATTAATTTACATGTATTAATTTTTTGGTGACTGGAATGTTATTTGCTATACATGTAGATCTGTTCATGTGTATGTATACATACATGCATGTACTGTATGATCAATTTAAATTTTATAGTGATTTGTGGAGTTGTCTTCTTCCTTGCAGTTTATGTTCAGTACTTGATTATATTTCTTTTTCCTTTAGGTGTCCATTCTAATGATTTATGTCGGTTTTTTAAGTATTTTGAGAATAGAGATATTGCTAAAGATTTGTTACGTGAAAAAGGTCTAAAGAAAATACGAATTGGAATTGAAGGCTTTCCAACTACTAAAGAGAAAGTCAAAGTTCGTCCAACAACAGGAAGAATGGAAGGTACTGTACATGTATTTGTGTACACAACATGTATTATACAACATGCTGTACATTTACAAGTACATGTACATGCATGTACAGTACATGTAATTTTATTATCTTATGCACTTATTATAATGATCAGTAAACAAGAATTTATCTGTTATAAGTAGAATTGCACCTATACAATAATTTGGTGATATTTAGATTAACAGATTATACCTTAAAAAAGCTGCCGATACAGATGTAAATAAAATAATGTAATGTAAATGTAATGTAGATGTAAATGTAAATAATGTGATTAAAAGAAATCATAATGCAAATGCATGTATTTTGCGAAGAACTTAGACACAGCTGGTTACAAATTGCTGACTTACATGTATCTTCTAGTGAAGTACTGCCATATTGACAGCCTTTTTGCCATTTTTGGATCATAATGGTGTAGTTAACAACTTTTATTAATTAATTATTAATAGTTATAGTAATCTGCAATGAAATTAATTGATTCAGATTCGATAAAAATGGCATATACAGTACATGTACATGTATCAGCAAATTCCAATTATTTTATTGGTACAACCCTAGTTATAAGTACGTTTACGGGTACATACAGTACATCTTCGTTGTAATAATTATTGCAGCTAAAACATGCAGAAACTAAAGTCCGTTGCATTCACCTGAGCCCTCATTTTTCTTGTTATAACTTTCGGCTTACTAGTTCTATTATAAAAATAAACTTACCAGTACATGTCTCTTTTTTGATGCATTGATTGTGGAACTTTAGAAGTACATTGTAGCTATATAGTTTTGAGCTCCCAAGTTGGCTCTGTATATGCAGAAAGTACAGCTTTACTTTTCAGTATACATGTACTTTTGCATGCATTCTGTGTAACTATTGGTGAAGGTCTGTAATGACTTCCTTGGCTCAGGTGAATGTAAATGCACTTCAGACCAGTAAGCTTACACTATAATGCTGCTGCATCACTGTAATAGAGATTTGACTAAACAGTACATGTTACTCATGTAAGCAATGTACATGTACATGCTTCACAATGAGACTAAAATGTTATGTCAATGTTGAAATTGTTTAATTTCAATGTTTTTTAGTGCATCAGATTGTTAAAGCTTTCACTATATTATTCATTGCAAAGTAACATTAACTGGGTTTAACATAACATTTAAAATTTTTCAGTTTACTTGTCATAGATTTATACATTATGTCTGGTTGCAATGCAGATGCAATAAAATTGCAAGCAGCCTTTACTTAAAATACCTTTTCTTTTTACATACAGTTGTGTATAACTACATACAGAGACCATTTGTACGCATGTCATGGGAGAAAGATGAAGCGAAGAGTCGTCACGTTGATTTTACTTGTGTGAAAATAAAAACTGAAATAGCACCAGATGCTGAAGCTGCTACATTAGTATCAGCTGGTGAAGATGAAGAAACTAATGTAATATAACTTTTTTATATCAAATCTATAACCCAATGGTATTATCCATACATCCATCCTATAATAATGCTTAATTTCTTTCAGTTGTATCATTTAAAAATACTAAAATTGTACAAAATTCTGCATGTGTTAGCAAATTAATGATAAAAGGTAATTAATTTTAGTAAGAACAAGCCAAATTGCGAATGTCTTGTTTGCGCTCTGTTGCAATAATAATAATGATTAATTACTGACTACATAATACATGTATTAATTAAAATAATACTAATAATTAGTATCCAGTCCAGCGCTGCAGGTAGTTTGTCCAGCCTTTACCAGTAGCGCTACCTGAGTTATCACTATCACCAGTGGGATCAGGCAGTTCAGTTTTCCTTCCTAAGATAAAAGTGATTGGAATAATTAAAGAATTAGGCTACATGTACCCTTAATTGTTTCCTGAAGGAAATGCTTTTCTTGCTGACTTAATTGAAGGAGTCTTGTGATAATAGGAATCAGCTTCAACTTCTCTTCATTGTTAGTATGAAGAAACTAGTAAATTGTACAGTAAAGTTATAAAAAACCTGAAAGTGTATGGGCATGAATAATTTTGTTAAAACATTATTTATTATTTACATGTGTACTGTATATCAATGAGGAAGAATATAATGCATAATTTACCTTTAATGTGACATTTTTGAGATACTCCATGTTACTTGATGCTTCTTTTTGTCTTTCTTGATTACGCTCCAACCTAACACATTTACAATAATTATACTATTGTACCATGATACATGTACATCTACACATACATAGATACATGATTATGATAATAGTCGGCTAACTAATGGAACATTCAGAAGTGAGAAAATAAAATTGAAAATATTTTTGAATGTTTTGTATCATATCATTATGGACTGAAAATAAACGTAGTTAAAATACTCTGATAATAATAGAATGCTCAGTGTACAAAATTAAAAACAAAATATACATGTACTGTACCTTCTGATTTCTTCTTTGAGTAGTTTAGACTGGTCAATGTAACGTACACAGTTTGCCTCACTTTCATGTAATATTCCAGTTAAATGAGAAACTCTTTTTGTCAATGTTGCAACTTGATCTTTCAAATCTTCAAGTGTATCTAATTTAGGAGCTGCACAATACATGTATGTATACAAAATAAGTACATGTATGCATATGAATAAAGTTAACAAACTTTAGCACAACTGAAACACTTACACAAGCTTCTTCCACTCAATGAAGACAACTCATTTGAACTGTTGTTAAGAAGATTTTCAAAACTAACAAATTTGTCTTCATCTCTTTGCGGGGTTGGTGTTACAACAGGCAAGGATAATCCTAATACTTCTAACTCAGAACGATCCATACCCTGATAATTTCAATAGTCAATAAAAAAATTATAATAGTAATAACTGCACTAATGAAGAAGAATATACAATGAGCTACATGTACATGTAGACATAAGAAGCATAAAAAATTATGTGCAACTGACATACACGTAAGAATTCCTTACCTCTCCAGAAGATCTTTCTTCAGTTGGTAACACTTTCATGTCACCTGTGGGTCTCATATTTTCCTTGACCTGCATGATGATTTAGAATTATAATGACAGTGCAGTTACTATGATGTACATGTAGTACATTTCTATACATGTACCTGACTGATTTGAGAAGAAGCACTAGTAGAAGATACTTTAGAAAGCACAGCACTGTCGGACTCTTGTTGAAACCGGTTCAAGTTCTTGTATGCTATTTTCAATTCATCTTGTAATGAAGATATTTCTAATTCATGATCCTTCTGTAAAGTATATATTTGGGACTACAAAAGGAGGATATACATGTATGTGCCATGAAAATAAAGAGAAAATAATTATTTACTATGGACTATGAAGTTGTACATGCATGCACTTCAATTTCCAAATCTAAAAGTTAAAATACATGTACATGTATATTCATACATGTACATGTATGTGGCTATGTGCACAATAGAAGGTTAAGCAAACTAGTGGAAAAGAGATAAATGTACATGTACATGTACGTGTACTGCATCCTGAAAATAATTTTGTATACATGTACATGTACAGTAATACCATAGCAAGGCCTAAAACTGCATGTACAATGTACATTAATTTACATTTGAGTAATTAATTTCTTCTAAAAATGAAACTTTAAATTGACTATAGTCTGTCAGTAGTATATGCAAACGTAATACATGTAATCAAAGCACAATGCATACAATGTGTGTCTTTATGTTAAAGCAGCTAGTGGCAAGTCCTATTTCAGTTATCATAGAGCATTTAATTCCACAAACACACAATGTAATATACATACATCATGTATGGTAATAAACTAATTATACATGTAATAAATGTATATTGTTGTCCTCTACCTTAAAAGCTGCTGTATTCTCTGCAATTTCTAATCGCAGCTGAGAGACTAGATCATCCAACTGCCTTGTCTTAATGACATACTTTTCTTCACATTCCTGAAGCCTGTACATATACACATAAATTAAAATTTATGTAGGGTCCAATCATATTAAAAATACATTAACTTAACTATACCTTTCATGTAAATGTTGAAGTTTTAGTTCATTTTCATGTACATAACTGTTATGTGTACTAATAAGTGCCTGATGCTCTTGCTCAATATTACTGTGATCAGAATAAAGATTAGTCAGCCTTTCCCTATTAAATAATATAAGTGGCATAAAATACTAGACGAATGTAGAACATTGAAGGGGCGAGCCTACACAAGCAAAGCAATGTACATACAATAGATCTTGATATACTAACAATACTCATGCATGATGACGACTGTGCAAAAGCAGTAGGCTCAGAACTTGATGGACGTAGTTCTTGATTATCTACCAATATGGTCTCTGCAACAATTAAAGTTACAATGTACCTTGCTTATAGCATTTAGTAAGCATTAAAGATAGCTACAAGCAGTCATTGACGGCACAAATAATATGGCTAGATAGGCAACTGTAGCACTTTCTTGCCTGCTCCAAGTTAGTTCAGCAGGCTGTCTCTGGCTGTGACTGACATTCACTTTATCAGAGTTATTGACATCAATGAAGAACATGGCATGTCTGCTTTCTTAACCTTCCTTGCTGCTGCATTTTGACAGCAGTACAGTCTAATCAGTCTTACAAGAATTTCCAGTTTTGATACTGAGCCGCCATTTTACTTCATTGTGACCACACCCGTTCTCAATGAAGATTATCAAGTTTATTAAAAAGTGGAAATTTTTTCGGATAAATAGAGGTGACGTACGTGTACAAACATACTTGTGTCGTTTATGTGGGGCTCGCTCAGGCTCACCCCAATGAGATAGAAAAGTATGCAGTACATGCAGGCATGTAATAGGGATGTATAACTTTTCAAAAGCAATCAAATTACCTTGTTTCAATCAGTTCTGATTTAGTCTTAAGCAGCTCCGCTTCATGCTGTTGTCTACATTATATGTACATGTAAGAAAATTTAAGCTACAGTGAAAAAGTGTATACAAAAGATACATGTACCTTAAATTGCTTTCCACTTCAGTTAATGAGGGCATAGTTTGCTTTTGCTTCAATACAGAGTGCACCCTTACCTAAATGACATGTACATGTACATTAATAGTATCAAAATAATCAACACTTCATACTTTGTAGTTTTCGAATTCCTGCTCCTTGAGCTGCAACAACTCACTACTGGTCTTTAATTCAGTCTGAAGAGATGTCACTTTCATTTCTAGAACATTTATCAGTTGCTTGTAGTGGGATACAGATGACTGAGACTGCAAAAATATAACAAATAATAAATGTACATGTACAATGTGAAAATATGAGCATTATTGATTTCAAGACACACTTGTTCTAAGTCAGACTGAAATGCTGCTGTTAACCTTGCAATCTCAACCTAATAAAATAAGAAAAATATTAAAAACATGTCCATGCACCATGTACATACATTGTACCTGAAAATTTTAACTGTGATTAATTTTACTGGAATACAAATTTTGTAAAAATTAAGTGACACATAAATGCTTAGCCCCAAGCAGTCTAAAGCACGCAATACTGTAAAATCAAGAAATTTATGCAATAGAAAACTTTTTTATTTTCTTTTTTTGCTGTGCTTTCATTTTTTCTAAATAAGACTGTGTCATGTATTATTGAATGCAGCATGTAATGTAATGCATGTACTGTACTGTACTGCATGCATTTATGTGTCACTTAATTTTTACAAAATTTGTATTCCAGTAAAATTAATCACAGTTAAAATTTTCAGGTACAAGGTGCATGGACATGTTTTTAATATTTTTCTTATTTTATTAGGTTGAGATTGCAAGGTTAACAGCAGCATTTCAGTCTGACTTAGAACAAGTGTGTCTTGAAATCAATAATGCTCATATTTTCACGTTGTACATGTACATTTATTATTTGTTATATTTTTGCAGTCTCAGTCATCTGTATCCCACTACAAGCAACTGATAAATGTTCTAGAAATGAAAGTGACA